CTCCACATCTATGTCACCGTCACATCTATATCACCTCCACATCTATGTCACATTCACATCTGTATCACCTCCACACCTATGTCACCTTCACATCTTTATCACCTCCACATCGCCTCTACATCTATGTCACATCTACATCTATGTTGCCTCAATAACTATTTCACCTCCACATCTATGTCACCTCCATATCTATATCACCTCCACATCTATGTGCCCTCCACGTCTATATCACCTCCACATCTATGTCACCCCCACATCTATGTCACATTCACATCTATATCATCTCCACATCTATGTCACCTCCATATCTATATCACCTCCACATCTATGTGCCCTCCACGTCTATATCACCTCCACATCTATGTCACCCCCACATCTATGTCACATTCACATCTATATCATCTCTACATCTATGTCACATCTACATCTATGTTGCCTCAATAACTATTTCACCTCCACATCTATGTCACCTCCATATCTATATCACCTCCACATCTATGTGCCCTCCACATCTTTATCACCTCCACATCGCCTCTACATCTATGTCACATCTACATCTATGTTGCCTCAATAACTATTTCACCTCCACATCTATGTCACCTCCATATCTATATCACCTCCACATCTATATCACCTCCACATCTATATCACCTCCACATCTATATCACCTCCATATCTATGTCACCTCCACATCTATGTCACCTCCATATCTATATCACCTCCACATCTATATCACCTCCACATCTATATCACCTCCATATCTATGTCACCTCCACATCTATATCACCTCCATATCTATGTCACCTCCACATCTATATCACCTCCACATCTATGTCACCTCCATATCTACATCACCTCCACATCTATGTCACCTTCACATCTATATCACCTCCACATCTACATTACCTCCACATCTATGTCATCCCCACATCTATGTCACCTTCACATCTATATCACCTCCACATCTATGTCACCTCCACATCTATACCACCTCCACATCGCCTCTACATCTATGTCACATCTACATCTATGCTGCCTCCACATCTATGTCACCTCCACATCTATGTCACCTTCACATCTATGTCACCTTCACATCTATTATCACCTCCACATCTATGTCACCTTCACATCTGTATCACCTCCTCATCTATGTCACCTTCACATTTATATCACCTCCACATCTATGTTACCTCCACATCTATATCACCTCCACATCACCTCTACATCTATGTCACATCTACATCTATGTTGCCTCAATATCTATATCACCTCCACATCTATGTCACCTTCACATCTATTATCACCTCCACATCTATGTCACCTTCACATCTGTATCACCTCCTCATCTATGTCACCTTCACATTTATATCACCTCCACATCTATGTTACCTCCACATCTATATCACCTCCACATCGCCTCTACATCTATGTCACATCTACATCTATGTTGCCTCAATATCTATATCACCTCCCCATCTATGTCACTTCCATATCTATATCACCTCCATATCTACATCACCTCCACATCTATAACACCTGCACATCAGTGTCACCCCCACATCAACATCACTTACATCTATTTTGCCTCAATATCTATGTCCCCTCCACATCTATGTCATCCCCACATCTATATCACCTTCACATCTATATCACCTTTACATCTATATTACCTCCACATCTATGTCACCCCCACATCTATGTCACCTTCACATCTATATCACCTCCACATCTATGTCACCTTCACATCTTTATCACCTACACGTCGCCTCTACATCTATGTCACATCTACATCTATGTTGCCTCAATATCTGTATCACCTCCACATCTATGTCACCTCCATATCTATGTCAACTCCACATCCACATCACCTTTACATCTATGTTGCCTCAATGGCTATATTACCTCCACATCTATGTCACCGTCACATCTATATCACCTCCACATCTATGTCACATTCACATCTGTATCACCTTCACATCTTTATCACCTCCACATCGCCTCTACATCTATGTCACATCTACATCTATGTTGCCTCAATAACTATTTCACCTCCACATCTATGTCACCTCCATATCTATATCACCTCCACATCTATGTGCCCTCCACGTCTATATCACCTCCACATCTATGTCACCCCCACATCTATGTCACATTCACATCTATATCATCTCCACATCTATGTCACCTCCATATCTATATCACCTCCACATCTATGTGCCCTCCACGTCAATATCACCTCCACATCTATGTCACCCCCACATCTATGTCACATTCACATCTATATCATCTCTACATCTATGTCACATCTACATCTATGTTGCCTCAATAACTATTTCACCTCCACATCTATGTCACCTCCACATCTATATCACCTCCACATCTATGTCACCTTCACATCTTTATCACCTCCACGTCGCCTCTACATCTATGTCACATCTACATCCATGTTGCCTCAATATCTGTATCACCTCCACATCTATGTCACCTCCATATCTATGTCAACTCCACATCCACATCACCTTTACATCTATGTTGCCTCAATAGCTATATTACCTCCACATCTATGTCACCGTCACATCTATATCACCTCCACATCTATGTCACATTCACATCTGTATCACCTCCACATCTATGTCACCTTCACATCTTTATCACCTCCACATCGCCTCTACATCTATGTCACATCTACATCTATGTTGCCTCAATAACTATTTCACCTCCACATCTATGTCACCTCCATATCTATATCACCTCCACATCTATGTGCCCTCCACGTCTATATCACCTCCACATCTATGTCACCCCCACATCTATGTCACATTCACATCTATAACATCTCCACATCTATGTCACCTCCATATCTATATCACCTCCACATCTATGTGCCCTCCACGTCTATATCACCTCCACATCTATGTCACCCCCACATCTATGTCACATTCACATCTATATCATCTCTACATCTATGTCACATCTACATCTATGTTGCCTCAATAACTATTTCACCTCCACATCTATGTCACCTCCATATCTATATCACCTCCACATCTATGTGCCCTCCACGTCTATATCACCTCCACATCTATGTCACCCCCACATCTATGTCACCTCCACATCTATATCACCTCCACATCGTGTCTACATCTATGTCACATCTACATCTTTGTTGCCTCAATATCTATATCACCTGCACATCTGTGTCACCCCCAAATCCACATCACCTTTACATCTATGTTGCCTCAATATCTATGTCACCTCCACATCTGTGTCACCCCCACATCTATGTCACCCCCACATCTATGTCACCTTCGCATCTATATCACCTCCACATCTATGTCACCTTCACATCTATATCACCTCCACATCTATATCACCTCCACATCTATATCACCTCCACAGCCACATCACCTCTACATCTATGTCACATCTACATCTATGTTTCCTCAATATCTATATCACCTCCACATCTATGTCACCTCCACATCTACGTTATCTCCACATCTATGTCACCTCCACATCTATATGACCTCCACATCTGTCACATCTACATCTATGTTTCCTCAATATCCATCACCTCCACATCTATGTCCACTCCACATCTATGTCACCTCCACATCTATGTCACCTACACATCCACGTCACCTCCTCTCAGCTCCGTACCTATCTCCTGTTCCAGCCTGAGCAGAGACAGCTCCAGGTTTAGTCTGCTGAGGAATCATCAGCTCTAAACGCTTCACTCTGAGGAGAGCAGGAAAGCACTTTGGCTTCATTTCCTTTAACTCCACAGATGGATGAGAGCAATATCAGGACGCGTTTAGCTCCAGAGAGAGAGATGGACCGCTTCTTTGTAACTGGAGTCTTTATGCAGATGATAATCTGTGTAACGTCTGATTTAGGAAATAAAAACCTTTATGAGGAGGTTTCATTTTCCTGCTCTTCTTTACCTGTAATATAAAAGGACATTGCCTCTGTGAAAGCTGCAACAGGAGATGTTTTTCTAACTTGGGATGTAAGAAAATTTTGATGTGGCAAAATATCCTGATGTTTTTTCCTGCGATATTTTATCTATATTAAATGCCGTTTATCGAATTTTTGGAAGAATTTACATGCAAATATTTATGTTTTCATTTCTTTTTTTCTTTTTGTGCAATTCAAACACCGACCGCTAGTTGGCAGGTTTTGTTTTTACCATTGAAATGTAAGTCACCGTTTAAGAATGTAACATGCTAGCTAACATAGCTAGCTCGGCTCTGAATGCGTGATTCGTGCACATAGAGCGGTGATGCTCTCTGGAGCTTCTCCTCAGCTCGCGGGGCTCCAGGACCTCTCTGACAGTAACCCGTGACGCGCGTCTCCAGCACGGAGGCCCGTCTTCAATCGGCCTCTTTCACTGTGACTGTGTACACACACATGCAGGCCTGCTGTTCAAACACATACACTCTTAAATATCAGCAAACACGCCGTCCGAGCCGTGTTCTGACCAGGTCCGCTCCGGCGTTGGAGACACTCCTCTCTCTGCTGCTCAAGTTGTTCCTCTGCAAGTAAATACCCAAAAAACCAGCGTTCGCCACAGGGGTTTTAGAGGTGTGTGTGAGTGTGTGTGGGTGGGGAGGTTACTTTGAACCTTACCACCCACTCAAGACACACACACACACGCACGCACGCACACACGAGTCCTATACACACACGAGTCCTGGATCTTCAGACCCAAAAAAACCCGTATCCGGTGTTTTTATCTGATGGCTGGAGTCTGCGTCAAGCATCCACAGAAACTCCTGTGTCATTGTTTGTGACGAGGCAGATGGGATTATGGTCAGAGAAATCCAAAAGACTTTGTTTGATGCTTTTAGCAGCTGTTAGACTTGTTTACTTCAGATGGAGGTCTGAAAAGAGCAGGAGAGAAAATCAAAACACATTAGATAAATGGTGAAGAGGTCTCTTTAAAAGAGTCCTGGTCTGTTTGTTTGCATCTCACCTGATTTTTGCTTTTGTTGCTGCAGCAGCAGCAGGAGCTCCTGGCTCTGAAGCACCAGCAGGAGCTGCTGGAGCACCAGAGGAAGATGGAGAACCACCGTCTGGAGCAGGAGCTGGAGAAGCAGCAGCGGGAGCAGAAGCTGCAGCTCCTGAAGAACAAGGAGAGAGGACAGGAGAGTAAGTAACCGCTGACGCTGTCAAAACACAGGAACACAAATGGTTCAGAGGCTCCCAACGCTTATACGTCAGATCTTTGTTCCTGTCCACGAGAGCAGCAGAGCTCTGCAGCTGTTCACGGCTTCAGAACACAAGCAGCTGGTCTGTAACGTAGGAAAAGCTGAGTTGCTGCAAATGTGCAGATCAGGAGATTTACGGTGAAACGTCTCTGATCACAGGTTGTTTTTAATGAGGAACTGACTAAGGAGGAGACCCGTCTCTCATTTATTAACTCATTAAACTGTTCAGCTTGTCTGGTTTAGCAGGAAGAAACTCTTAATTCAAAAAGCTCCAAGGTTGGAACAACTGTTGTGTTTGTGTTCCTCGTGCAAGCAGCCGCGAGCGTGCGTGCGTGTGTGTGTGTGTGTGTGTGTGTGTGTGTGTGTGTGTGTGTGTGTGTGTGTGTGTGTGTGTGTGTGTGTGTGTGTGTTTCCCTGGGAGAACCCGTGTGTTTACAGCAGTAATCAAGCTCCATCAGCCGGTGGCCTTGGCGCGGGTCGGGTCCAGTTATTACTGCCGCACGTCTGTCAGCAGCACTCTTGAGTCCTTGAGAGGAGGTTACACACTGTGTGTGTGTGTGTGTGTGTGCGTGTGCGTGTGTGTGTGTGTGTGCGTGCGCGCGTGTGTGCATGTGTGTGTGTGTGAGTGAGGATGTTGGTTAGGGTCCGAACTTCGACCAGAACTCCTTAAACATTATTCTAAAACGATCTAGCCACAAACAAGTTAAGCGTTTCCACTTTTAGTCACATTTTTATGAGAAATTCAATGAAATTGTTTATTTGCTTTCCTCAACAAACAAGATTAAAGAAAGTAAATCTGGGTTGTGACGTAGCGACAAAACATTCCAATGAGAAGGGTTCAGATTCTGTTTTAGTGGAACCCGTGTGATGAACGGGCCTGGATCTATCTGGATTAAAGTCCAGATTGGGATAAATGGTTTATAGGAAAACTTTACTTATTGTGTTTGAGTTTGAAATGTTTGATGTTGGGTGGGAGAAGACGAGAAAACAGTGAAGCTTCCTGAAGGAAAACAGGATCAGAGAAGGAGTTACGGAGTTCAGATGAAGCAGTTTAGTGGAATTATTGTTATTATTACATCTTAGTTTAGTTATTATCCCGCCTCCTAACCTAACGGATGTTTTCCAAACTCTTCCTTTAGCTGTGTTCATGAGCTCCGCCCTCTTTTCCCACCAGGCGCCGTGGCGAGCACAGAGGTGAAGATGAGGCTACAGGAGTTTGTCCTGAACAAGAAGAAGGCTCTGGCCCAGCGGGGCATCAACCCAGGAGGCCTCGCCAACGATGCCCCCTACTGGTACCGGTAAGAGTCAAACCCACGCCGCCACTTCCTGTTTTCAGTTCCACGGTTCTAAAAGAACACGAGAGATCCCCATGTTGGATTGAGTCAGTCAGTGGTGATCGGGTTGGGTTAGAACAGTGGTTCCTAACCTGGGGGTCCTGACCCCCACAAGGGGGCGCCAAAGCCTCTCAGTGGGTCGCCAAAGCCTCTCCACTTTAAGGGGTTAAAACTTCATTTATTACTTGTTTATAGCCTACATTTTGCTCACATTTTTTTTATGAGTGAAAAGTTTACTGATATGAAGACAGGAAATAATTAGTACAGAAAGAGTAACACACTTTTAAGAACATTTTGCTCAGCTCACTGTTTTATTTTCAAGTGTCAAAAGTTCATTAAAGATAGAGCTGGTTGATTAATCACAGCCTTTACAGTAAATAATCTAGTATAAACAGTAATATACACATTTAAGTACATTTTGCTCAGTGTATTTTTTATGTGTCAAACGTTTATTGAAAGGAATGATTGATTTATCAGTGTTTACAAGAAACAATGTGTTCAGAAAAGTAATACAAACTGTCAAGCACATTATGCTCTGTTTGGTTTTGTTAATGGCTTTGTTCTGTACTGGAGCCTACTATTACTGTTATCTATTGAATCAAAGCATATTAAAATGTGCTTGAACAATTTTATCATTTCTTAATAATGTTTGTACTGGAAGAGAGAATGGGAGGGGGTCATCAAAAATGTTACTGGTAAAAAACGGGGTCCCTTGGGAAAAAGGTTGGGAACCACTGGGTTAGAAAACACACACACACACACACACACACACACACACACACACACACACACACACACACACACACACACACACACACACACACACACACACACACACACACACACACACACACACACACACACACCATTATATTGGACCCTGATGATGGAGGCTCTTTATTGTCGCTGCAGGTGAGCTCGTTTAACAGTTTCCTGTTTGCTTGTCGACGTCTGGCTGAGCTCAAACAGTAGCAAGGTCACGCAAACCGAAGCCCCGCCCCCAACCGACTGATCAGCTGTTACCACACGTGTTCTAGTGCAGAACTAAGAGACGTGTTGGGAGTCTTATACAGGAGAAACGGCTGAATGTTGCAGCTGTCTGGCGGGTTCAGGAGTGTTTCTTCAGGAAAGCTGACTACCTGTGTCCTGAGGGTGTGTCAGACAGGATGTGATGTCATCCTCAGATTGAGTAGCAGAATTAATCTGGAGAAACCCTAATCTTTGTTTGTTTCTGACCCAGAAAACGAGCTGAGTCAATAAAATCAAAGATCCAGGAGTGAATAAGCGTTACGTAATCCTGAAGTGTGACCCCGTCAGACGCCCACGCGTTCCTCCATCAGTTTCTAGCCGCGTTCATCTGCCGATCGGGAACGTGCGTTTGGGCTGAACCGACTCAGATCAGGTTCTCCTGAGAACCTTGTTCTGTAGTTACTTTAGTCTCTCACATCTACAACAGACAGGAAGTGACATCATCAGTAAGTTGTTGTTTTGGTTTTGCAGCAAAACGCAGCACAGCTCATTGGACCAGAGCTCGCCTCCGCAGACCGGCGTGTCCGCCTACAACCACCCGGTCCTGGGAGTCTACAACCCCCGGGATGACTTCCCTCTGAGGAAAACCGGTACACACACACACACACACACACCCTCCCAGCAGCCCCCACATGGGAGCGATAGCGTTTTAATCACTGGTCTTTCAAAAAGCTTAAAACAGGTTTCTTTATTATTTATGACTATTTCAACCCCTTAAAGGAATATTTAGTTTATTCCCAGGTGTGTTTCAAACAACTTCATCAAAAATCCCCAGAAGCTGAGGCAGGAGATGGATGTAGGAGACTTTCATGTTCAGCCTTTAAACAGCAAGTCACCCCCTACCAGATTCTTACTCAACTCCCACTTCCTGATTGAAAAATGCAACAAATGCTGTTGCCTAGCAGACCGAGAGGGCGGAGCCACTAACAAATACACACACACAGGCTCACAACGACATTTTGACATCATATGGTACCAGCTAACATTCTAGGGTACCTCTCAGCCAATAGTGATGGCAGATTAAAATTCAAATGCAGTGCAGAGTTTTTACCTGACAACGGCAAAACACTGACAGTTTTGGGCAGAAAATTAAAATTTTAACTAAAATGCACTAAAGTGCAAAATTATTGGCTGCACGTGTCTTGCAGCACGCATTTATATAGTTTATCAGGAAAAAAAGTTGATTTGGGGGTGACTTGCTCTTTAAAGGGTGTTTTAGATTAAAAAAATACTTTATAGTCTTACAAAAACACAATATTGAGGGGAATCTGTCAGATTTAGTTCTTTGTACGTTGAATTTCCATGACACAGTAACTTCAGTGGATTTCCGGAGCCGTTGCTGTTATTCGGGACCTCTGGATCCACAGGAAGTGTGGCGTAAACGGGCTTTCGCTGCCGGGACGTTTTAGAGACCAGAACCGTTTCAAAAGCCCTGCTCAGACTAGCCTCTAGCCTATCACTCATTCAGGAATTAAACTCTATTTCTCTAAACAAAGGCTGCTCAGGAAGCCGCAATCATAATTACTTGTAACTTTTACAAAAAAAAAACCATAAAAATGTCTGAAATACTGGATATTCCTAATCAGCAGCCTTGACTCCAGTGGAAATGCACCTTTAGGGTAAAGCTGAGTAGTTTTGAGTGTTTTTTGTTTGTAATTAGGAGTAAAAACCCAAATTTCCATCTGAGACCATTTTCTTTTATCTGGGACCCCAGCAGCAGGTTTCTGTGTTAAACTGGAACCAGATCTGGTTAAATCTCATCAGAAATGAAGCATTTAACGTGTTGAGAGTAAAATCCAGCTGCTCTGCGTGTTTTTGCTCTGTGTGCTCATGACTGTGGCTTTTTGTGTGGCTGGGTGAAGTGAATGGTGTGTGTGGCGGTGTAGCTGTGAAGCGGCGGTCATCTTACAGTGTAATTATTCACTTAACGCCGCGGCGTGCCCGGTTGGGCCGCTGGTTCTGACAGCAGGGAGACCACAGTTGACTCTGGCCCACACGGCCGCATTCCAACCTGGAGGAGGAGGAGCAGAGAGCAAGAAAGAGTAAAAATAATCAAAAGACTGAGAAGAGAGGGATGAAGGATTAGAGCGGAGTGTGAGCGCGAGGGATTAGGACGGAAATCCACAAAGAAGCCAAACTGGGATGAAACAAACCGGCTTTATGAGGAGGAGGAACCATCAGCTCGTCTGCTGACTTCCACAAGGCTGAAGATTGTGCTCCGCTCTGGAGAATCTGTGCCACCGTGATATTTGCCCACAGCAGTGACGTGCCTGGCAGGGTTTACTTATGGTAATGCCCGCTTGGCGTGGTCAGAGGCTCTTTTATATTGCCGCCGGGACTCCCAGTGACGGTTGAGACGTTTTCCTGTGTAGAGTCAGTCTGCAGGTAAGACTTCTAGGATAGTTTCTAAATGATCCAGTCGGGCTTCCGTTTCTGTGCCGATTGGTTTGGTTACAGCTGGACTCTGAGCTTCCGAGGCTGATTCCAGAGCTGATTTCTGTAAATCAGCATTCGTTCTGTTGTTCTGATCAACGCAACACAACATGAGGCGTTGTTCTCCGACCCCTTCTCCTGCATCTGCCGCAGGAAGGAAACAGGCGGGAAAACGACCGGCTCAGATAAAGCCACGGCTTCGATATATTATTGGACACGCCCACATGGGGCTAGCAGAAGCTAACCATTAGCTTTAGCAGCTAAAAGGTTGCATAAGTTCAGGCTTGTGTTGCTAGGGTTAGGGATAAAACAACAACGTTGATTTTTTTTTACCCGACAAAAGGCAGCAGAAGAGTCAAGTTGCTGTTAGCCTATCAGAGGAGAGATGTCCGCATATCATGAATATGAATGAGTAAGAGTTGTTTAATAATCTGCTGAATATGTTGGCCAATTTATTGGTTATGGCAAGCACCATCATACGTTGGTGATCTTCTCAGTCCCTTCACCCCCAGCAGGCCCCTGAGGTCCAGTGACCAAAGCCTACTGGTTGTGCAGCACCAGGCTAAAGGTCAAAGGTGACAGATCATCTGCTGCTGTGGCCCCCAGACTCTGGACATTTCTCCCCCTGAGCCTGAGATCAGTGGTCTCCTTTAAAAAGCAGCTGAAAACTCACTTGTTCAGGTTTGGTGGGACCTTCATCACCAGCCTCTCCTTGTTCTGCTCTTGTTCCGCCTTTCCCGCTATCCACTGATTTCCCTCTTTCCCTTTCTTTACATTTTTAATCACATTTTTTATTTTAAACATATTTTTAAATAATTTTTTGAAATCTCTTTATATTAATTTTTTTGTTTTGTTTTTGTGAAGCACCTCATGTTTTTTATCGAGCGACGCTAAATAAAAAATTGTTTTCTTCCTTTTCTTTCAGTGAAGGAGATCAGCTGATCTGCTGACAGTCTGATCGACCGTTTCAGCTGCTGAACAGTAAATTATTTAGTTAACTGGTTAGTTGGACGTTTTTCTCTGGCAGCATTTTAATTGGCTGATTGGTTGATAATTGGGTCTGTTTTGGTTACATCACAGAGGGTTGGAAGTCTGGATGGAGAGCAGGTTAACACCTTTCTGCTGAGCGGCACCGTGATGAAGCAGAAACAGGAAGTAGATCATTATACTGGAAAAGCTGGAAATCACTGATCATCTGACAGGAAAGTGGAGGGAAAAGTTGTGCATGACAAAAGGGGCTTTTAAAAAGCAGATGGAGGCCTAAAGTCATTAACCTCTCCTACGGAGAGCTCAGCGTGGGTCTGGAGGGAGCATCAGATGAATAATGCCTTTTCTCACACACTCACACACACACACACACACACACACACACACACACACACACACCCTCACACACACACACACACACACACACACACACACACACACACACACACACACAGACAGAGGTGGACGAGCGTGAGGCGCTCTGACTCACTTCGCCCTTTGGTGGAGCTCCTAGCTTGCGTTTTCAGGGCGAACTGGGGCAGGCCAGCCTTCACGAGCTCAAAGCCACCAGCAGCTTCCTGGTTCCTGCTGAATACACACCACCTTCCTGTTCATCATATCCTCATTTACTCAGAAGCCAAATATAACCCTGCATTGATTTGCTTCAAAGCAGAATTAATTAGGACATTAGGACTGGACCTGATATTTTCTCACGGCGTTAGACGGCAGCGGTTTCACTCCAGCCTTTTCACAGAGCACAGAAAACCTCTTTTCACGCGTATTGACTTCTCCTCCATCGATTGCGTTCAGCTTTGAGTACATCTCCGCTGTGATCGTTCGGGGTGCTGTCAGATCGGATCGGTCTCCTTTGTCAAAAAGTGCTTTCACCACGCTGAAATAGAAACCAGACACTTGGTCTGCCCCGCTAATTATCATTCATCTGAGCGTCTGGAGCCTTGGTTTTAGCTTTAACGCTAAAGGAGAGAGCCGTGAGCTGTCTGACGTCGTTTGTGTGTTCCATCTAAAGGATCGCGGTCAGTCAGGTGCAGAACTTCAGTAAAATTCCACTTCAGACGTCTGTGTAGCCGCACCTTCAGCGCTGAGTCTCTAGAGGAAGGAGCAGCAGAGATTAAAGAGGTTTGGTCTCATTTAGAAACTTCTCTTTAGGTAATTGTCTTCACTTTTGACTTCCTGAAGCAGCTCTGGACCTCATTAAGACTTCATGGGAAGACAACTTAAGTAATGTGCAAAGCTTGTTTAATGTAAAGAAGGGTTTCAGCCACTAGCATCGTAGTTTTATCAAACGCAAAGACATCACATGGTGGATTTTGACTTACGGTGCCTCTAACAGCGGAGTACATTCTCAGGGTGTCTGCTGGAACCCATCGGCTCCACAAACAGACTCCCATCAACGATAATTAGTTTGACTCCATCTGGACTTAACTCCCCGTCTCCCTCTGTGCTGATGCACCTTCACACTTCATTTTTCACACTTCTCCCGTTTCCACACGTTTATTTTTACCTGACACAGCAAACGGGACCAGTTTACCACCGCCTCCCAAAGGGAAAGTTCTGATTTTGTTGCTGTAACTTTGAGTTTAGAGGAAAAGACGTTCAGTGGCCGCTGGTTTTTGTATTTAGCTCATCTTTGGTGTTCAAAAACGAGATAATGACTAATGAAAGGATCCCAGGCTGCTGAATGTTGGGACAAAATAAACAGAGCATTAGTGGTCATGGCCGTAGCCAAGGTGACATGCCATTCCCTTCTCCCTGTCTCCATTCACAAGTCTGTGACAGCGCCAACAAAGGACTAAAATGCCATGTAGGCAGTCGGGACATGGCTCCCAAATTGGAGCTAATTGCTTTTTAGCTCATCTTTGGAAAAATAGGAATTTGCATAGTGCGGCGGCCGTACATGCGTCATTTACCCAAACAAAGCCATTCAGTCAAACATGGCAGACGAAGAGATAGAATTCCTCTCACTGGTCGGACTTATGTTAAGCATAATTCTGCGCACACGAAGACGCAGACCAGGATGATGAAGCTCAATGGTTAAAAGGAATGACGGAAGCGGTGTGATGCGCGCCGTCGCGCGTCTAGGAGACGGTACCGTAGGAGGCGAGCTGCCATGGTTCGCCGCATGCTACAGCAGCGAGCTATCTAGGTGCGCACAGCGTCCCCCGGTCCCCTCCTCCTCCCCCTCCTCCCTGTCCGGAACTCGACCTCACCAGTCTGAAGCAGTCACCTTGTCTGTAACAAGTCCGGACCTGTTACTAGGGGCTTCGTCCGGTTAAATTACGGAAAACGTTATCCGGATGTTTGCATTCAGACACAAAGGTCTTACGGACAGAGTCCAGAACATTTCCGTTTTTCATGGCCTGTCTGAAGGGGGCTTTATGAACAGCAGCGTGTCACTGTTTGTCTCGCAAAAAGGTTTATTAACAGGGCAGCTCTGCGGAAGGTTATCCGTGAAAGAGCAACGTGTAACGTCGATATGGAGTCCTCGGTACGGTTGGCGCTAAAACTGCACCTGTTCTGAGTTTTACACTAATGAGAAACGGTGCGAGTTTAGCTAGGCTCACTCCCTTCTTCTTTTGGATGTTGATATTTTGTACACTTGCATGGGGCTAATATTTTGATGGGGACATTTTCTGCAAAGCTCATTTTTTATTATCCTCCTGTGGTCTACTGCCTTTATATACACTCCAAACGTGGAAAAAACCCATTCATCTGTTTTCTGTCTGTGTTTGGATTCAGGAATTATCTGTCCTAAAACGAGCTGCTTCAGAAAATCCCTGTTTGTGATGTCACAAACTGTTTCAAATTACCATAGAACACTCCCTCACACCTGTCTACTTCACTCCGAGCCCCTCCTGGATATCTGAGATCCTATGTCTGAGCAGGGCTTTAGCTAGTTTTTGTAAATTGACAGAGACCTGAAAAGGCTCATTATGGAAAGCTCTGAACCTGTGAAGAATAAAACTGCTGAAATCACTTTATGTGAGAGAGATTTAGAGCAACAGATTCATGAACGTCTTTTTATCGGCACAGAACTATTTTAACTTTATAAAAAAATTGTAAGTCGCTTTGGGTAAAAGCGTCTGCTAAGCATATAAACATAAACATAAAACACATTATTTGCCTCCAACACCTCCACCAGCTTTAGCGTTGTATTAGTAAATAAAAAATATGTCAAAGATGATTTAATGCCCAGTTTTATTTAGGAAAACAAGTCATTCCATTTAACATGATTTATACTCTCCAGTCTTAATCTTTATTACCGTCCTACAATTTTTGGACCCCTTGTTTTTTTTTTAGCCAGCTGTTCCCGTCCACTCCAGCCGAACAACCGCCCCGCTCCCGTGAGATCACCGTCAGGTCCGGCGGGATCACATTACCGATGCTGGGCGATGTCTGCCTCCTGCTTTGGGGAATAAAACAGGCCCATTATTTATGCGTAAAATCTGGTTTTTGTGTGTAAAACATGATCCATAAACTGGAAAAACTGGTTTGTGTAACTTTGGGACTTTGTGTTCAAATGCACACAAAAAATAGTTGGACATCAGGAAATGTACAAACACACCGTTACACTAACATTAAAAGTTTCACACTCAGATTTTACTTTCACTGATTTTACTTTCACTAATGATATAAATTCAAAAAGACACTAAAAATCATTTAACACACGTGAATCTAAAACACAAAGTACAGGAGGAGTTCTTAGACCGACTTCCTGCTTCTGCGAGACTTACCCATTCGTTGACACATGGTGCGTTTAAATGCTGGTGGAAAGCTGGGACGTATGAATTTCCTTCAGAGTCTGGTGTTATTCCCTCCATACTGATTTCTCTGTATACTTGTGCCAAGTTAAACCTGCACACCTTCTCTTTTATCCTTTTTTGTTGTTTTAGATGTAATTTTAGACAAATGCTAACATAAAACATCTTGTTCATTATTTTCCCGCCATAACTAAGGAGACATGTGTTGGTGGCTCAAAGCTTTGCTGCATGTAGGGAATGAGCTCACACACTTGCCACATACATACAACTGACCTGTTGTTTCATACTCTACGTGTTTTGAGATATTTACTGTTTTGTGTGAAAAGTTGTTTGTTTTAGCAGAACGTTGCTTTAAAATGCAACACATTCAGAATAGTAGGGGAACTGGTTTTGCCACCAAAATTAAAGAGTTCCACTTGTTAATTCTTGCTTTGTATTTTGACGTTACTTACTGCTAGCTAACTTTGTATTTATTGCTAGCTAGCTTTGTTTTATTGCTAGCTAACTACTTTTTATATTGCTAGCTAACTTTGTTTTATTGCTAGCTAACTTTTTTATATTGCTAGCTAATCACTTTTTATATTGCTAGCTAACTTTGCTTTATTGCTAGCTAACTACTTTTTATATTGCTAGCTAACTATTTTTTTTATTGCTAGCCAACTTTGTTTTTTGCTAGCTAACAACTTATTTTGCTAGCTAACTTTGTTGTATTGCTAGCTAACTACTTTTTATATTGCTAGCTAACAGTGATAGCCCGTCTAGATGCAGCCGGTGTAATATAGTCGGTGTCTGTCTCTGTTTCCTGCAGCCTCGGAGCCCAACCTAAAGCTGCGCTCACGGCTGAAGCAGAAAGTGAGCGAGCGTAGGAGCAGCCCTCTCCTCCGCCGCAGAGACAGCCCCATCACCACCGCCAAGAAACGCTCACTGGACATGGCAGGTGAGCGGCGTTTGAGGCCCAGGGTTTGCTGTTCGGCTGTAACTTTATTAAATGTTAGTGTTTATATTTTTGTGTGTACAGACTCGGCGTGCAGCAGCGCCCCCGGCTCCGGACCCAGCTCCCCCAACAACAGCTCCAACAACATCCCTAACGAGAACGGCATCGCTGTGTCTGTGTCCAACAGCACGGAGGTAACGCTTCACTAACAAACCTGTGCTGCCGTTTAATACCCACCAGCTCTGGGTTTTCGGAGCACTTTTGTGTTTGTGCCATGGTTGTGACCCGTTAGTGCTGATTCCTGCAGACTGTTGCACAAACAGCAGCCCTGAGTGATGCATGTTGAAGTGATGTGTGCACAGATGAGGAGCTGGGAACACGCTATTTGTGGCAGCCATTAGGGGCACTGCGGTGGCGGTGTGGAGGAGGCAGTGACAACGTTCAGACGTAGCCGTGTCTCCGTGTGAGGACGTCCACCCGCGTGCTGCTGCTTCATAAATCATTTAAATGTGTTTCCTAGGCATCTCTGGCCCAGAGGCTGTGCGGTGGTGGCGGCGGGGGGGAGCCGGGCTCCGTCAGCCAGCTGTCTCTCTACACTTCACCGTCCCTCCCCAACATCACCTTAGGGCTGCCGGCCACGGCCACGGCTGCCTCCAGCGTAAGGAGCAAACTGCTGACACTCGGAATCTGTTTATGAGGAGTTTATGGTGCATTACTGAAGCTCCGCCTCCTCTCTGCTTTTTCCCAGGTCACCTCGGCTCAGCAGGATGGGGGCCTGCAGCCAGCCCTCTCCCTTAGCCCCCCCTTCCTGTCCGGAGCCCACCTGACCTCCTACCTTGGAGATGCTGGAGCAGGAAGCGGCGGAGCCCACAGTCCGCTGCTCCAACACATGGTGCTGATGGAGCAGAGTCCGGCCCAGAGCCCACTGGTGACAGGTAAATGGGTCGGACCCAGTCAGAATCAGCAGCTGCCCCCCCCCCCCGCCCCGCCCCCCGCCCCCCCCCCCCAACACACACACACACTGACAGACGTCCATTCAGTAGCTCAGACTAATGAGCTCCTTTCATATGTCAGCTATGGATGTGTGACATGGGAGCATTGTGCTGGTTCCCATCAGCTCATTCACCGACTCAAACATGGCTTCTATTTTCAGCCGAGCGTCAGCGCTGAAAGAGAGGATGACGCATGTGTGTGTGTGTCCACGCGGACGAACACACACACACACCAGGATGTTAGCACACCCACACACACTCAGGACAAGTGGCGCTCAGTGCAGAGAAGAGAAGTTAAACGTTTTTAACCCAGCAGACTCCAGCGCCGCTTCCTTCTCCTCGGCCGAGCCGAGAAAGCGTCTGAGATGTTTCTCAGCTCAAACAGAATGGAGGACTCAGTATGGCAGCACAGATGGTTCCGTTCATGTGGTTCACAAATTCATCTGCTAACTAGTCTAAGGTTCCACAACAGTGAGATGAAACGAGGAGCTCCACTAGCTGATCTAGAACCCTGGGTTTGTGCGCGTTCTCATGCAGGTTCTGCACAGGTTACGAATTCACGTTCTTCACTTCGGATTTTTATTTTGTTGGGGAAAAAAAGATATTTGGAAAAGATGTCACTTTTCTTTTGAAAGACCAAAAGTCATGAAGCTTATTACCACTGCAGCAGGTGGAAATGCACCGATTCTGGTTTTATTAACCAATACCGATTTTTGATGCTCATACGTCTCTGACCAGCCGATACCGATTTATCTCATTCTATTTAACTTAATAATGCTTTGCTTTCATTTATTTATTTTACTGACTTACTTTACGTACTAACTTGTAAGATGGGACTCAGGAAGTTTCAACGTTCACGTGGAAAATCAGTTAATGTTCGTGTGAGTTGGTAGTGGTGAGGTCACAAACTGGGAAAAGCGTAGGATCATTTATTTCTGACTGACTGTTTTCAAAGGCCTCGCCGTAAAAAAATCCTGTTATTTAGGTTTCAGATCGTCCGCTTCCGACCACCTGAAAAACAGTGGAATTAGCTTCTTAGCATTTTTTGTGTCTTTAGGACAAAAGTAACATTAAAGCTGGGGTTCGTAGCGTAAAGTTGATATGTTCCTGCTCACACAGCTGATTCCAACAGCTGACTTAACTCCTTATCGGGTTCTGGAGGAGCTGAACACCACACAGTTCAATCAAATCTGCAGTGTTCAAGCAGGGAATTCAAGCAGGGAATCGTCTCGCTGTGCTAGCACACCCCCGCTAACGCTACAACAAGACAAAACAGTAGTCCGACTTAATGCAAGGTTTAATGCTACACTAATCACTTGGCTCCATCACAGATGCATTCCCCCCCCCCACCCCCCACCCCGTTAGCTTCTGTGCAGGTTGAGCTAGAATTCATGCTAGATTGGTGTGCTAAGCTGGTTGATTGACAGTTCCCATCGAGCATAGATTGGAACCGGTTCCAACTGTTAGTTATTCCCGGAATCGTTCGAAGTTTTTTATTTTGATTTCTAGTTTCGATTCCTAGAATGCAGACGGAAGAGGAATCCGCGGCCGATCTCTGTAAAAAATAAATGTGATCTGCAAATTGTGATCAACGCTTTTCAGAGCTGATCACACCAGCTGTCTGTGTGCAGCACCGAGTTGCCCCTCCCCCCACCCAGATATAAACAAACACATCTGCCGAACTTTTACTCCGTAACGTAAACTTTACCTCCTGCAGCGTAGAGGAAATGTGTTAAATACGTCAACACGGTGGATTTAATAGAAGCTTTAAAGAACAAACTCTGGACGGTGTGAGGTGAGTTTGTCTCACTGCAGAAATAAAAACACACACGGAGCGTCAGCAGTCAGACACAGCTGCTCACCAACACTCGTGTGTGTGTGTGTGTGTGTGTGTGTGTGTGTGTGTGTGTGTGTGTGTGTGTGTGTGTGTGTGCATGCGTGCGTGCGTGCGTGCGTGCGTGCGTGCGTGCGTGTGTGAGCGTCAGAAGGCTGGACAATAACCTGTAGAACAATTAAAGTCATGCTAGAACGGCTTCTCTGTGGTGGACCACACCAGCTTCTGCCACAATAAATAATTATAATAATAATAATAAATCACACTCAAAGTTGTGAACATTTTAATTTCCTTTCTGAACTATTTCTGTTGAGAGTTTTAATGTTTAAAATCTGTTAGATTGTTACTGACAGCAGCTACATTTAAGTTTCACTTCCTGTTCTGACTGAACGCTGCTGCAGCATGGAGGTGTAGTTCTCAGTCATCCTGGACATGATCATCCTGAGAGTTTTAGCTGAAAACAGCTGCACGTTTCTGGATATGTTGGAGACATTTAGCCTCTCATCCCAGAGGCTTCTTCCTGACTTTGGTTGTGGTCAGAAACAAACACACTGGTTGTGCTGCAAGTCTTTTTCTTTTGTTCTCCAAAACATGTTTTTGTCTAAATGAAGGTGTTGTTATTGTTCATAAAGTTAAAATTCATGTTGGAGTTAAGATTATTTCATCAAGTAGGACCTGTGGTTAGCTGGCTCATGTAAAACATGTCATGTCTTGAAAGAAGCGAAATCGGGAATCGATAGGAACCGGAATCGAAACAAGGAATTGGAATCGGAATCAGAATCGTTCAAAATCAAACTATTCCCAACCCTAGGCCACGCTCTAGACTCGTGTAAATGGTGGTTTTTGTTTTGCTGTAGAGGCTAGGGAAGGGGCTTGGGGGAAGCAATTTTAGAACCCCAAAGCTAGTGCCCCAGTTTTAATGTTTTAACGTTTTGTTCCAAATCTTGGTAGTTCTTATAGTTGTTTGGTTTACTAGGCTGTGTTTACCAGTGCATGCTACATGAGCAGATCATAAAGGTTCTATCAGAGTTAAATAAAGCAGCATTAAAGCACGTTAGTTATGTAACCTGATCTGATGTCTCTCTGCTGCAGGGGTGAGCGGCCTCTCCATGTCACCAGCATCCATGGCCAAGCTGCAGCGGCAGCACCGGCCCCTGGGGAGGACTCAGTCGGCACCGCTGCCCCAGGGCAGCGCGGCCCAGGCCCACGCTCAGGCTCTGGCGCTGCAGCAGCTCGTGGTGCAGCAGCAGCACCAGCAGTTCCTGGAGAAGCACAAGCAGCAGTTCCAGCAGCAGCTCCACCTCAACAAGGTAATGTCCTGATGCTGCTGATCTTCAGCTGGAGGCTGTGGTGTAGATCTGGAGCAGCGATGTGTGTAGGTCTGGTGGTATGTGTAGGTCTGGAGCGGTGGTGTGTGTAGGTCTGGAGCGGTGGTGTGTGTAGATCTGGAGCGGTGGTGTGTGTAGGTCTGGAGCGGTGGTGTGTGTAGGTCTGGAGCGGTGGTGTGTGTAGATCTGGAGCGGTGGTGTGTGTAGGTCTGGAGCGGTGGTGTGTGTAGGTCTGGAGCGGTGGTGTGTGTAGGTCTGGAGCGGTGGTGTGTGTAGGTCTGGAGCAGTGGTGTGTGTTAGTCTGGAGCGGTGGTGTGTGTAGGTCTGGAGCGGTGGTGTGTGTAGGTCTGGAGCAGTGGTGTGTGTTAGTCTGGAGCGGTGGTGTGTGTAGGTCTGGAGCGGTGGTGTGTGTAGGTCTGGAGCAGTGGTGTGTGTAGGTCTGGAGCGGTGGTGTGTGTAGGTCTGGAGCGGTGGTGTGTGTTAGTCTGGAGCGGTGGTGTGTGTTAGTCTGGAGCGGTGGTGTGTGTAGATCTGGAGCAGTGGTGTGTGTAGGTCTGGAGCAGCTGTGTGTGTAGGTCTGGGGCTGTGGTGTGTGTAGGTCTGGTGGTGTGTGTAGGTCTGGAGCGGTGGTGTGTGTAGGTCTGGTGGTGTGTGTAGGTCTGGAGCGGTGGTGTGTGTAGGTCTGGTGGTGTGTGTAGATCTGGAGCAGTGGTGTGTGTAGGTCTGGAGCAGCTGTGTGTGTAGGTCTGGGGCTGTGGTGTGTGTAGGTCTGGTGGTGTGTGTAGGTCTGGAGCGGTGGTGTGTGTAGGTCTGGTGGTGTGTGTAGGTCTGGAGCGGTGGTGTGTGTAGGTCTGGAGCGGTGGTGTATGTTGATCTGGAGCGGTGGTGTGTGTAGGTCTGGAGTGGTGGTGTGTGTAGGTCTGGAGCGGTGGTGTGTGTAGGTCTGGAGCGGTGGTGTGTGTAGATCTGGAGCGGTGGTGTGTGTAGGTCTGGAGCGGTGGTGTGTGTAGATCTGGAGCGGTGGTGTGTGTAGATCTGGAGCGGTGGTGTGTGTAGGTCTGGAGCGGTGGTGTGTGTAGGTCTGGAGCGGTGGTGTGTGTAGATCTGGAGCGGTGGTGTGTGTAGGTCTGCGTAGGCAGCACATCCACCAATCACGCATCTCCGTGGAAGTGTGTAGCCTCTCCACTATTCCTGCTAGTGAGTGGGTGGAGGCGCGTTTGAGCTAACTTACACATTTGCATCCATGTTTCTGAGGCTGTGCAGGCAGCTGAGAGGTAACCGTTTGCTACCATGGCAACAGAGCGGAAGCCCTCGCCTTTTATGGGCAAAGGAGGAAGAAAGCTGCTGTTGCTGTTGATGGCTTTACCTATTCAGGCAGAGGAGGATAGGTGGGTGGATGAAACAAGGGATTTCCTCTCTCTCTCTCTCTCTCTCCCTTTCTCTCTCTCTCTCTCTCACACTCCGTGGGCTTCAGAGCTCCTGAGCAGTAACTTTCTGCTGAAAAACGTTTCCAGCAGCTGACGGCGCATCAGCGACACATTCAGGAGTCGGGAACAAAACAAAAGGAACAAAGTGTTTTATTTTCATCTTTTATTTATTAAAAAATGTAGATTTATCCTCCTGAGACCTGAGCTTTTATCTGTGGAGCATTTATGTATTGTTGTTATTTCATTTCTATGTTTCTGTTTTCATTTTACATTTCTAGCTATTAGAGATATTCAGGATCTCACTTTGGTTTTTAACCGTCACAAGTTCAATAAAAATGATTAAGTTATTAGAAAAGGTTTCTTTAAATCTCTCTAAGAGAAACACCAGGTCAAAGGTCAGCATCATACATTATAATCCAACACGGCGTCTCAGGAAGATGATGTCATCTAGAAGGTGATTAGTTTAACTTTACTGCTTTAAGTAAATAAACAATCATTCAACATGTAAAGAAATAAATACATAGCAGAGCCTTATGACCCAACGTGGTCGTAGCTAACCCAGACGGACCCGAACCGGGTTCTGATGCTCCTGATCCATCCAGGCTACAGGCCAAAAGCTCCTGTCCTCATTCTGGATCAACGTTTGTTGAGACAGAACCTTCTGAACTAATCTAACCTCATTCTGGACTCTTAAACCATAAAAACAGCAAGAAAAACAAAAGAGGAAGGTTTTTCTAAATAAAAGGCTCTAAAAAAGAAGAGACTGTTTGAAAAATCTGAAATTTGCAGGAAAGATGAGTCACACAGAGACTTTGAGATGACTAAAATATCACTGATGAGCAATAGGATAAAGGTAGGAACAAGTAAAGGTTTTTCAAAGTAAAAGTCAGAAAATTTTCTTTTTTAATGATGTTGTGTAAAAAAAACATGAATCAGGTATAAATAAAGAGCACATAACTAAAATGATTCTGATTAACAATAAAAATACATAATAAATGCAAGTTAGAACAAGCAACAGCAGCTAGAAAAACCCAAATAAATCATCCGTTTATGTAGACGAGTTTATTTTTTTATTTTTATTTTTTTTTCATTTAACATGTTTGTTTAGATCTGCTGCAACGGGAATAAAGATGGGAATTCTGGGAAAGTTGAGCAGGATCAGAGCGAGGGGGTGAATGCTCTGGCGTCATTGATGTCCCCTGGCACGATGCCAGCAGACCCAGAGGACTGTAGCTTTGGGAACGCACGCACACACACACACCTGTAGATGGAGCCCACTTGGGACCTGCTGCAAACTCTCCTCTTTCTTGCGAGTTTCTGCGTCATAAACACCCGCGTCCACCAATCAGTGGGGATGAATGAGCGCATGGGGTCGGGGCCCCTGGATGAGTCGCTGGCAGCATGCTGGAATGTCTGAGTGATGTCACACGTGGAGCGAGGCACTCACCCTGTTAGAGGCACGCCGGAGCCATCATGATGAAGCTCGTTAGAGGAGAACAGGAGTTTGGTTTGTGGGATCTGTCACATCCAGCTGGTTCTCATCCTTCTGCAGATGATCGGGAAGCCCAGCGAGTCACCCGTGGGTCGGCAGCACCAGAGCCACCCGGAGGAGACAGAGGAGGAGCTGAGGGAGCACCAGGACGGAGGAGTACTGCCGCTGGGGGTCACCATCAAGCAGGAGCCCCCAGACCCACAGGAGCTGCAGGAGGAGGTGCTGCAGCAGCACCTGGAGAGACAGGTAGAGCAGGAGCTGCTCTTCAGACAGGTAAGATGAGTTAAGCAGCTGAATGATGTGTTTACACTGCCACCTGCTGGTCACTCGCTGCACCCACACTTCCTCCTGCCCTGTTATCATCTTTACTTTTTAAATACTACTGTCAGAGAAGAGTGGATTTGTTCTGATCTGACCAAGGGTTCAGGTGGGTTTTACAGGTTAAGCCTTAAAAAAGGGTTCAGTCCTTCAAAATAAGAGTCTCTACATACACAAATACCTCAACTCATCTGAAGCTGATTAGAGCTGGTTTAGGGTGAAACTCAAAACTGCTTTTATAAGTATCCGATGTTTTCTCCACATTTTGACTTTGATAAAAGTAAAATAATCATTACGAACAGACATGAACTTTCTGTGGTTTTAAGGTGGCAGAAGGAGGTCATAACACACGGAAGGGTCTTTTAAATGTGATCTCTGGGCCGTGTTTCCCAACTGATGAATAATCCTGGTTTCCTCCTTTATTCTCCCCTCTGAGCAGCAGGCTCTCCTACTGGAGCAGCAGCGGATTCACCAGCTCAGAAACTATCAGGCATCGATGGAGGCGGCCGGTTTGTCCGTCTCCTTCCCAGGACACCGTCCCCTGTCCAGGGCCCAGTCGTCTCCAGCTTCAGCGTCCTCGTTTCCTCTCAGCGTCCCTACAGCTGATCCTCCCGTCAAATCGCGCTTCACCACAGGTTTGCATCGTCATCATGTCTCCCTTCTGTTTCTGAAGCATTAGGGACGGAAATGTTTAAAAACCGAACCTTCTTCTTCAGATCTCCTCTCTTAAGTCTCTTTAAGGAAGCTGTTGGTGTCGGTTTTACCTGCATTAACGCAGAAGAGAAGGAGATATTTGTAGTTGGGCCGTTTTACCCCCAGAGCTGCCCGGATCAGAACCACAGACATTTGTTTGTTCTGAGGTTAGAACTCAGGTTGTGGTGAAACTGGGCCGTCTGCTTTCCCACCCAGGTCTGGTGTACGACTCCCTGATGCAGAAGCACCAGTGCATGTGTGGGAACACCAACAGCCACCCGGAGCACGCCGGGCGGATCCAGAGCATCTGGTCTCGGCTGCAGGAGACCGGGCTCAGAGCGCAGTGTGAGGTAGGAGCCGTGGGTGCTGACGGTCTTGCTCTGAGGCCAGATGTGTGAAAGCTGTTGTGTTTGTGTGTTTAGTGCATCCGGGGGAGGAAGGCCACTCTGGAGGAGCTGCAGACTGTCCACTCTGAGGCCCACGTGCTGCTGTATGGAACCAACCCGCTCCGACAGAAACTTGATTGTAAGCCTGGAGCTCAGAGTGAAAACACTTTGCCGCTGATCTCCTCTAACGGACGTTACATCTGATCTGCAGGTTCGGTAACACCCATGTTTGTACGGCTCCCGTGTGGAGGAGTGGGGGTGAGTGACGGCATGAAAGATCCGACGGTTTTATTGTCTAAATGTATTTAACCACTGCAGCAGTTAAACATCTGGGTGTTTCAGGTGGACAGTGACACCATTTGGAATGAGGTCCACTCGTCCAGCGCCGCTCGCCTCGCCGTCGGCTCGGTGGTGGAGCTGGTTTTCAAAGTGGCCACTGGAGAGCTGAAGGTAAAATAATACTCTCATTCTATTCAAAAATGATACTTCAGCCATTTTGATTTGGGTTCCTGTTGGAGGAAAATCACTTAGGGAGGTTTTCTGACCTACGAGCCAAAGCTGTAGTAACTTAGTAACTGATGAGTGGGTTACTAACTGATCAGTAACTGAGTAACGGATGAGTGAGTAACTGAGAAACTAATGAGTAACAGAAATGAGTGTGTAACTGTGTAACTAATGAGTAACAGAAATGAGTAACTGATAAGTAACATCATTGTTAAAGTTTACCAAATGAAACTCAAACTTCTCTGAAGTTTCGTAGACTGGAGCTTCATAAAGATGACACCTGTGCTCAGACTAGCCGTTAGCTCATCAATCCTTTAGCATGTAAATACTGTGTCTTCAAACTGAGGCTATTCAGGAAGCTATCTACATGGTAAATGGCCTTTTTTTTGATACAGCACCTTCTAGAGTCCTGGAACCCCCAAGGTGTGTTACAACACAATCAGTAATTCACACATTCACACACTGGTGGTGATGAGCTACATTGTAGCCACAGCTGCTCTGGGGCGCACTGACAGAGGCGAAGCTGCCAAGCACAGGCGCCACCGGTCCCTCCGACCACCACCAGCAGGCAAGGGGGTTGTGTCTTGCCCAAAGACACAACGACAGACTGAGTGGGGCTCGAACCTGCAACCTTCTGACTATGGGGCGAGCACTTAACTCCTGTGCCACCATCGCCCCGTTTACATGGTAAACTTTCCAGATTAGAACAAAAAGACGACATCAGTAAAATCTTACATCTGTAGCTCAAATGTCTGAATTAGGGCTGTCACGGTGTGAAAATTTAACCTCACGGTTATTGTGACTAAAATTACCACGGTTTTCGGTATTATCGCGTTTTTTTTTTAACGTGCTACATTTTCACACAATTAAATAAACCCTGTATGTCAGGGAATGTTGTCCTCAGTTTGTGTCTAAATTTTGCCTAAAATGTGTTATTTTGTAATTGTGTTGTTTATTTGTTTACATTTTTCCCCTTTAGTCTTTAAAATACCAATATTTGCCCATAACTTCTTATTTTTTGTCTGTTTGATGTCATCATTTAAAAAATATTAGATCAGATGATACTCAGTACTCAAGTAGCCTTCTAATCAGATACTTTTTTACCCTTACCTGAGTAATAAACCCTATATCAGGAAAATATTGTCCGCGGTTTGTGTCCTTCCAGTGAGCTTTGCAGATTTGGGAAAATGTCATAAATTCATAATTACCGGTATTCTCGGAGAGAGACCAACTCTTATCTGCCCCTGGGAGCCCCGTAATGCATAGCGTCATTTCAACATGGCGGTGTCCGCGACACAGTTTATATGCAGGTAGCATCGCTGCGGCTGCTTTATATAGTGACTCGTTGCATTCTCCCTCAACCCAAATTCTCGGATCACGCATTTTAGCTAAAACGCTAACGTTAGCTTGCCTTGCGTTGACTGTAGAGTTGTGGGTGATGGTCACGCAGATGTGTCATGAGATTTGAAGCGTTGCTGCCTTTCACAGACACTTTTTCTGCACGTGCTGCAAACAGGATAGCCGTCTTCTATCAGCTGTCCCTCGGCATTCTTCAAATATCCAAAAGATGCCCATACTTCCCACTTTGTCTTCTTTGAGGGATAAAAAAATGTCCTGAGCCCTTCCGTCTCCTCCTTTGGCCATTATTTCAGCTTTAGCTTCAAGAAAGTTTTGGTCGTAAACAACAAAGCGCGCATGTGCCGCAGGCAACTTCAGCAGATGATACGGTGGCTGGTAAGGGTCACCGTGCCAACACCACAGCCACAGTAATCCACCGAGATAATATATTTTTTTAAAAACAAGACGGTTATTATTATTGTCAACTTTTTTACCGGGGTTTACCGCTACACTGGTTACCGTGACAACCCAAGTCTGAATAAAACCTCATCTTGTCGCTACGACATCGATGAATCTGTTCTCTGAACGTTTAAACATCTTTTATGATTTAGGAGGTTCTAAATCTTCTCTTTCCTGTCCAGAAGCAGCATTCCTGACGTTCCAGCCTCCTAAAGGATGTTTTTAGTGGTTTTATATTTAGAAACAATGGGAGGTGATCAGCTGATGTCTCTCTTGCTTGCCTTTCCAGGATGGTTTTGCCGTGGTCCGCCCTCCTGGACACCATGCAGAGGAAAGCACTCCCATGTAAGGAGACTCTTAATCTGAGCAAACATAAACAGCAGCTTTAGATTGGGCTCATCTGGAGTCGAGATTACATAAACTAGAGTCCTGCCTTCGCTCTGCCAGCTGTCTGCGGTGCTGCCGTGCTTATTTCCCATAATCCTCCTGTCCGAACTACAGAAACATGAAAGGAGAGTGGGATTTTATTTGTGTCTGCTGCTGTTTCAGGGGTTTCTGCTACTTCAACTCGGTGGCCATCGCTGCCAAACTGCTGCAGCAGAGACTCAGCGTCAACAAGATCCTCATCGTGGACTGGGTCTGCTCACATCCAGCCTCCTGACATTATTCCTGAAGCTCCACCCACTGACGAGTTTGTAATGCTGTTTCATCCATCTGCCCTCAGGATGTTCACCATGGCAACGGCACCCAGCAAGCCTTCTACGATGACCCTAATGTCCTCTACATCTCCATTCATCGCTATGACGACGGAAACTTCTTCCCAGGGAGCGGAGCTCCTGATGAGGTTTGTTTTCACTTTTCTTTTAATACCAAATTGTTTTAAACATGCCGCACAAAGTTTTAGGGTTAAATGTAAATTCCAATAACAGTTCTTTCCTTCAGGAGTTTAGTGACTTTCTATCCTCCACTGTGACGCTGTCCATACTGGTGATTGTTGGTGATTTTAACATCCATGTTGATGATGCCTCAGACCACTTTGCCATGACCTTCTCCAGCTTCATGGACTCCTTCAGCTTTACCTAGCATGTTTCTGGCCCCACACACACCAGGGGACACACTCTAGACCGGGGGTCGGCAACCTGCAGCTCTGGAGCCGCATGCGGCTCTCTGCTTGTTAACTTGTCGTCGTCGTCTTCCTCCGCTTATCCGGGTCCGGGTCGGGGGGGCAATATCCCAACTAGGGAGCTCCAGACCGTCCTCTCCCCGGCCTTCTCCACCAGCTCCTCCAGCAAGGCCCCAAGGCGTTCCCGGACCAGATTGGAGATGTAACCTCTCCAAGGTGTCCTGGGTCGACCTGGGGGCTTCCTGCCAGCAGGAGATGCCCGAAACACCTCCCTGGGGAGGCATCCAGGAGGCATCCTGACTAGGTGCCCAAACCACCTCAATTGGCTCCTTTCGATCCGGAGGAGCAGTGGTTCTACTCCGAGTCCCCCCTAAATGTCCGAGCTCCTCACCCTATCTCTAACCCCTTCTTTCCACCGGAGCCGTCAGCAGCACGTTACTGCAGCAGCACGTCTTGCTCGCGTAAGCTGCTGCTTGGCCCTTCCCACGAGACGTGAAGCAGCAGGGGAGCAGCTGTCACCGACAGAGCACGAAGTCACATGAGTGACTTCGTCAGTAAACACAACAACAAGCAGGAGAAAACAACACCATGGCTCCAAAAGGTTTGTGTTTTATGTTCTGTCGGTTTTATAATCGCCAATACAGACCTGAAAAACAAAGGAGACCGCTAGCTAGGTGATAACTTCTCACGGGGCCGCACAGTTAGTAACTTTTTTTTAAAGTAAAGCAGCCGAAAGGCAGTACGTTTCTTTATTCTGAAAATCTCGGGAGCTTCGCTCCGTTTCCGCGTCCGATTTCCTGTCTTTCCTTCCCCAAAAATGTCGAACTTGACCCGTTTCAGAGGCGTCGCGCGTAGAAAATAGAACCGGCGCGTAAGGGCCGCGGCATGCTGCTCCTGAGACGCGGCCGACTCGCGCTGCTGACGGCTCTGGTGGAAAAGGTTCTGTTGACCACAGCAATTCCTATCAGCAGCTATGACGTGCTGCTGCAGTAACGTGCTGCTGACGGCTCCGGTGGAAAGAAGGGGTAAGGCTGAGCCCAGTCACCCTACGGAGGAAACTCATTTCGGCCGCTTGTATCCGCAAACTATTTCTTTCGGTCATTACCCAAAGCTCATGACCATAGGTGAGGATTGGGACGTAGATCGACCGGTAAATCGAGAGCCTGGCTTTCTGGCTCAGCTCCCTCTTCACCACGACAGATCGGCTCAGCGTCCGCATCACTGCAGATGTTGAACCAATCCGCCCGTCGATCTCCCGATCCCTCCTACCCTCACTCGTGAACAAGACCCCGAGATACTTAAACTCCTCCACTTGAGGTAGGACCTCTCTCCCGACCCGGAGTTGGCAAGCCACCCTTTTCTGGTCGAGAACCATGGTCTCAGATTTGGAGGTGCTGATCCTCATCCCAGCCGCTTCACACTCGGCCGCGAACCTATCCAGCAAGAGCTGAAGGTCAGAGCTGGATGAAGCTAGGAGGACCACATCATCCGCAAAAAGCAGAGACGAGATTCTCCTGCCACCAAACTCGACACACTCCACACCACAGCTGCACCTAGAAATTCTGTCCATAAAGGTAATGAAAAGAACCCGTGACAAAGGGCAGCCCTGGCGGAGTCCAACCCTCACTGGGAACAGGTCCGACTTACTGCCGGCTATGCGGACCAAACTCACGCTCCTCTGGTAAAGGGACTGACTGGCCCTTAACAGAAAGCCACCCACCCCATACTCCTGGAGCGTCCCCCACAGGGTGCCCCTGGGGACACGGTCATAAGCCTTCTTCAAATCCACAAAACACATGTGGATTGGTTGGGCAAACTCACATGCCCCCTCCATCACCCTTGCAAGGGTATAGAGCTGGTCCACAGTTCCACGGCCAGGACGAAAACCACATTGCTCCTCCTCTATCTGAGATTCAACTATTGATCGGACCCTCCTCTCCAGTACCTTGGAACAGACTTTTCCAGGGAGGCTGAGGAGTGTGATCCCCCTAAAGTTGGAACACACTCTCAGGTCACCCTTCTAAAAGATGAGGACCACCACCCCAGTCTGCCACTCCACAGGAACTGCCCCCAATGACCACGCAATGTTGCAGAGACATGTCAACCACGACAGCCCTACACCATTCATAGCCTTGAGATACCCAGGACGAACCTCATCCGCCCCCGGGGCTCCGCCGCTGTGTAGTTGTTTGACTACCTCAGCAACTTCTGCCCCCGAGATTGGACAGTCCATCCCCAGGTCTCCCGGCTCTGCTTCCTCCTTGGAATGCGCGTAGGTGGGATTGAGGAGCTCCTCAAAGTATTCCTTCCATCGTCCGACAATAGCCCCAGATGACGTCAGCAGCTCCCCATCCCCACTGTAAACAGTGTGAGCGAGTTGCTGCCTTCCTTTCCTGAGGCGCCGGACAGTTTGCCAGAACCTCTTTGCTTGTAAACTAATTAATGAATATTTAATTACAATGTATTTCATTTTACTGCATTCATTTTTATCTGTAGCCAATTCTAAATTTAAAGATTGTCTGCGTAAACCTGAACAAGTCACCTGTTTGTACATAATCACATGTCTCTATAGTCCCTTTCTGAGCTGAAGGGGGTATGAGATTATGGACTGTTCCTCAGACAGGCTCATGGATGCGTCGCAGTGTTGGAGACAGGAACAAGCGCTATCAGCAATTTTGCCGCGCAGAGCCGTGCGAACCTCGCGGACGTGTCAAGCATAAACCAAGCTTAAGTCAGGAATCTTGGTGTGACGTTTGACCCAGCTCTCACCCTGGATTCTCATGTCAGTTCTCTTGTTCGCTCTTCCTTCTTCCATCTCAGAAACATTGCTAAGCTGAGTCCCATTCTGTCCCGCTCTGAACTTGAGACAGTTCTCCACACCTTCATCTCCTCACTCTTAGACTACTGTAACTCTCTTTTCACGTGTCTGTACCATACCATTTTATTTATACCACACATTTAAAATGCAGCATGAGAGCTGAACACAGCACCTTACGGTTGGAAAACAAGCAGAAGAAAACATTTCAATAAAAAAAGATAAAATCAAACAATAACATTCAGGAACAGACAATTTAAAAACAATTCAATAAGATAAGATAAATAAACTATAAAAATAATAAAAACAGTAGGTCAAAACCAGTAAATCCAAGCATAAAAGAAATCATTGTCCAAAAGCCAAATCATAAAAGTGAGTCTTCAGACTCGAAAACCGAGACTGTTGGAGACTCGTATGGTGAGAGGGAGTGCATTCCAAAGGTGAGGAGCAACGTACACAAAAGCTCGCTCCCCTCTCGCCTCATAGATCATTTTTGGGGTGCGGTCAGCTGATCTTAGGGAACGCACCGGCACATTTAGCGTCTTGTGGACAAATGGTAAGATCTTAAGACAAACCCTAAAAGTCACAGGCAGTCAGTGTAAATGTGCCAAAACTGGGGTAATGTGAAAGTGTCTGTGTTGGTTAGAAAGCGAGCTGCAGCATTTAGCACAGTCTGAGCAGAACCTCCCTGAACCGTCTACAGGTGGTTCAGAATGCCTGTGCTCGGCTTCTGACCAAGTCCTCCAAACACACCCACATCACCCCGCTTCTCCTCCAGCTTCACTGGCTGCCAGTCAACTTCAGGGTTCATTTCAAGATCCTGGTTCTGGTCTACAGGGCCTTACATGGACAAGCACCATCTTACATTGGTGATCTTCTTAGTCCCTACACCGTCAGCAGGTCCCTGAGGTCCAGTGACCAAAGCCTACTGGTTGTGCTGCACCAGGCTAAAGGTCAAAGGTGACAGATCATCTGCTGCTGTGGCCCCCAGACTCTGATTTACCTCTTTTTTATTCATTTTCTCTCCCTTTGCTTACATTTCGTAATTACAATTCTTTATTTTTCTATTATTATTATTATTATTTTCCTTCTTCTAATTTTACCCATATTTTTCATTCATTTTTTTGAAGATTTTTTGTATTTTATTCTTTCTTTCTTTCGTTTTTCTTTTTTCTTTCTTTCTTCTTTAGTCTTTCTTTTTTCTTCTCTTTTACTTGTTTTTTTCTTTCTTTCTTTCTTTCTTTCTTATTGTTTTACTGTTATTGTTGTATTTGTGTTTTTCTATAAATTGTGTTTTTCTCTATCATCAGTGTTTTGATCCATCTCAAACACAACATGTGTTCCACAACGATCTTTTATAAGATCGTTTTTTAAGATTAAGTTTAAAAAATTAATAAAAAATATCTTAAAGATGGGAAAAGTAAAAAATAGAATCAAAACAATGTTTATTTCTGTTTTTGCATCCGGTTTTTAATTTTCCATCTAGAAAACCAGGATTAAAATTCTGATTTTTGAGTTTGACCTGAGTAAAGACAGAGAAAGCCGAGTTCATGCTGAACATTAGTCGTTTTCGATCGTCAGGCAGTTTTAGAAGTATCAATGTCTCCTCTTGTATCTGATCAAAGATTCATCACTAGGATGGGTTCACATGTTTTTTAAACAAAGTTTGAGACACCTGCCGGGATTGTCTTCACTATTTTGAGAAGAACTTTGTGGACTTTTAGAAAAGGTTCATTCAGGCGACAGGAGAGCGAGGCTCTGTGACTCGTGAGGTTGGGAACCTTCGTAAACGCTGTTTGCAGTTTGTGGATGCTAGCTGAGGAGCCTGAAGGACAACAGACTTGAGTAGTTTTGGTTTTTGTCCCTGCAGGTGGGCAGCAGTCCTGGAGTGGGGTTTAACGTTAACGTGGCCTTCACTGGAGGCCTTGACCCCCCCATGGGAGATGCAGAGTACCTGGCTGCCTTCAGGTAAAACTGCTGTTTTTTGTTTTATTCATATTTGGCTTTTAGTCATAAATTATTTCATTTATTTTTTGACGTTTTGCTTCAGAATGAACTAATAACGCCAGTTGACCCAAACTGTTTCCTGATCCGTTCCGTTTGTTTTTTCGTTCCCGTTGACGCCTGATAACCCCCACCCCGGTCAGGTGTGTGGTGATGCCGATAGCCAACGAGTTTGCTCCGGACATCGTTCTGGTGTCCTCAGGCTTCGACGCCGTGGAGGGACACCCTCCACCTCTGGGTGGATACACTCTGACGTCCAAATGTGAGCAGCAGATAATCTGAGGCTTTTCTTATCTCTAACACCAGCTGACATGACAAACCACGGCTGCGATCACCTGCAGTCGGACGGGGAAAAAGATCTCACTTTAGATTTTAATGGTTAATAAACGGTTGTCGGGGCCGTCTCCTCAGGTTTTGGCTATCTGACCAGGCAGTTGATGACCCTCGCCGGGGGTCGTGTGGTCCTGGCGCTGGAGGGAGGACACGACCTCACCGCTATCTGTGACGCCTCTGAGGCCTGCGTAGCCGCCCTGCTCGGCCAGGAGGTGAGGAGGTCACGCTCCAACTCGCAACCAGTAGATTCATTTTGGGATTGGACTGGGATTATTGTTCCTTCCCAATCTGACCCCTTGTGGAAATAATGAAGTACAGAAGCCCATTCTGTGTGTGTTTCTCATCTCATGCAGCTTGATCCGCTGCCGAAGGCCGTCCTCGAACAGAGGCCCAACCCCAACGCCGTCCGCTCTCTGGAGAAAGTCATCGAGATTCACAGTGAGTTCCCAAAAATAGACGAGCAGAAAGGGACGCAGATGTTCCTCAAATTCCAGAGCAGCTTAGATACCTGAAGCTGAGTCAGACTCAGAACCATCAAACTGATAACTCCCCTGAAAATATAAAAACATGAAAGTCCTACGTAATCTATGACTCATTTCCTCCTTTGTTTCTCCTGCTGCTCCACCCCACCCCCAGGTAAATACTGGCGTTCGGTGCATCGCTACTCTACACGGCTGGGATTGTCCCTGCTGGAGGCCAAACGAGGAGACTCGGAGGAGGCCGAGGCTGTCAGCGCCATGGCGTCTCTGTCAGTGGCCAACACCAACACCATGGATCACAGGTAACCAATCCAACCGGAACAAACAAAACAAATGTTTATCTGTGATAAACGGTGCAGAAGCAGAGCTGTGGAAATGGATACGTACAGAATATTTACTCTCATCATTTGTTTCCTTTTACCAATGAAATTTTCAAGCTTATACATCAGTGCTCAATTTGATCACTAGAGAAGACGCGTACCCTCGAAGTCCTGCAGGTCCAACTGAAAATGGATACAACAGAGACAGAATGTAAAGAAGAGCAAATGAGGGAGCTGCAGGTCTTAAGGGATGAAGAACAAAGTCATTCTATATTCAGCATTGTTATGAAAACAACCTTTGTCATCCACTGCCTCCTTTAATTCCAGCGCTGTTTGGCTAGCAGCTCAGAGTATGTTGTGTATGATATCCCTCTGTGAGGGTTCCAGGAAGTAGGCCATGCTAAACTTTATAGCACGCTCACCAAGAGGTGTGGAGTTTGTGAATTTGAACTTAAGGGTCTTAATTTTTTCGGCCCTTCCTTAAGTTGTCTCACATTCCGATTTTCTGTTCAAAATTTTTCTGACTTGTAGGAAGAAACTGAGACACCTAGCAAGGGTTTTCACGGCTAGCATAAAGTTTCATTTAGCTAACAACGGCGCAGAGATTATTGCCAGCTTATGTCCAACCCCCCACCCCTCAATGTGAGAGACTAGAAGCTCATAAAGATCAGGGAATCATCTGCATAGAATCACAAATATGGGTGTTTAGGATGAAACCTTTGGCTCCTAACGTTTGTGTTTACTTTTTCCCATCAGGCCCGAGGAGGAGGAGCCCATGGAGGAGGAGGCTCCGCTGTAACGGAGGCCGGCGTGAGGGCATCACAGCGTTACCATTGACCTCTCCGGAGAAGATCCTCGACTGACCCCTTCATTTAGTCCCCCTAACCCCACTCACCACGTCAGTCACCTTGATTGGCGACCCCTCGTCCCAAAACGAGGGAGAGGGGGGTGGGCTCAGCCTCAGAGTAGGGAGCCAATCAGAAGACAGAAGACTGAAATGGGGAAAAAAAAAACTAAATTAACGGCGTCGCTTGGCAGCACTCGCTCAGAGACTCTTTTTTTCTGTCAGTCTCCACACCCCCCCACGTTAGCCCACGGCGGCTAACCGAGTGATCACTGCAGCAGGCGAGTGTGTTTGGAGCGGGGGGAAGGGCGAGATCAGAAAGGCGTGGAAACATACGGTGCTTTACGCAGCTGCCCTCTGACCTGGTTCAGTCAGGACACCAGGGACAGCAGACGTCCCCAGCTGTCTGGACGCAGCTTGGGGTTTTCTTTTCTTACCTTGTTTCCCAACAAAATGGGACACGGCGGCGGCGTTTTACCTAGCCGCGTTCACTGTGGATTCCTGTTTCTCCCGACATTTGAGGAGGCTTTTTAAACAAAGATTTCGACTGTCACCTCTGCTGAAGGTTGACAAGTGAGAGGAGTGCCTTGGTGAGGGTCCGCCTGATTTCAGGATTGTTCAGGAAAAGGTTGCCTTAAAGTTTAAAGAATCGCTGAGAATTCATTTGGAAGACGGGAGGAAGACGCAGAACTTGAAACGCTAACAATCTTACAGCATGTTTACTTGGAACGTGACACAGACAGCATTTATGTCGCTCACAGCCTCTCTTGAAGAGTTACTTTACTTTTGAATGGATCTATTTTTCTGTAAAAAAATAACAAAAGAGAGAGAAAGAAAAGGTAGTTGCCAGCTTCTGTAGAGAAACTAAAAGGTGCAAACAGAAAATCAATTTGATCGCAAACTCTCAAAAGCCTTTGATGTAGCTTCCCTTTAACCGAAGTCATGGCTTTGCCTAAACAAAGTATGCATCTGAGCCGAGAACGCAATTGTACCGCTAGATTCATGAATGTGATCCAAAAGAGAAAAGCCAAGCAAGAAAAGCCAAAGCATGAGTTTGCATTTATACGGTTTCATTCCTCCTAGCTGGCAGATATTTCTCGTATTGGCCCTTTAAACATGAAGACTCCCAGTACACTGGTTCAATGTTTACCGATTTAAACCGATCAGCTGATCGTTTCTTTACTCGTACCGATGGGCTGTTGGCAACTACCTTAGTGTGAGCTGGACATTAGCCGTGTATAGTGAATATATTTTGACAGTAATCGAGTATTGTCGGTTTGTATCTTCATGTTTGATTTCCACATCAAGTTGTTGATATCGTGTCCATTTTTTTTATTGTTGTTGTTGATGTATAAGATTATTTTTTTAACTTTTTGTTCCCATTCATAGATTTTGTTCTGTGTTTTTATCCATTTTCTGGATAGTTCTAGGGCTGCCGTTCACACACTCCGTCGTTCCTTCTTGTATTTATCAAAAACAAGAAGCAACGCCTTTTGTTCTTTCTTTCTTTCTGTGGCTCCCTAAGCCTTTCAGCATTTTCATCTTGTATTTATACCACGTATTGTTTATAGGAGATTTCTATATGGAACCTTTATAAATGTACTCTTACCTAATGACAGCTATGATATTGTGAGCAAAAACAACCCACCACCCGGTCTGGTCGTACTCCATCGAAGAAGAGCGGTGTATTAAAGGCGACCGCACTGTTTCGGAACCATTGCATGGCACCGCGGTCGACATTACACATCTCATCACTCTGTTGCCTAATCGACACATTCTCCTCCCGTGCATGGGGTGACGCGCACTTACCTTTTGACTGTGACGACATCCATAAAGAGGTTTTATGTAGCTGGCTGGGTTTTATTTGATGGACAAAGACAGAGAAGGAGACGTGGATGTCGCAGGGATTGTCGAACCCGTTTCAGCCACATCGGTCCGCCTCATTCACGTTTCCTTCTCCATTTTCTTTGGGTTGACTTTTAATTTAACATCATGTTTAAGTTGATGTCATTTTATAAACTTGTAGGATTTATGTTGATGTTTTAACAAAACATTCCACTTGTTTGATTTGGCTTTTTAAAAAAGTGACTTTTTTGTAAAGCAAAAAACGACTTTTTGCTGTCTGCTCGCGCCAACTTTAACTCTTTGCATGGTTTGTGAGTCAGCATGCCTGCTTGTCTTTGTAAAAGAAAAAAATTCCAATGTATTTGCACAAGAGAAGAACACTGGAGGGACTCGAATAAAACCTCCCAAGCGCACTAGCTGGGGAAGGCTTTTCTTCCTCTCTGCTAGGTTAAGAGACTTGTTCAAATGACTCTACGGAGAAGCATTTGATATTTTGAAAAATCCAATTTTAACTCGATTCAGCACTTATGGACTGTGTTTTGAAAGAGACGTGCTCTGCCAAACCTCAGCTACAATCACATCTGTAAAAAAAAAAAAAAAAAAAAGACTCCCAAAGAATGCTTAAAAATTTTCCAGCTACGACAGATCGGATCGTTTGAGAAGCAGCTTGGAGGTTGAAAGGGCATTGTCGTTTGATTGTCACATCCACCTCGGCCAGTTCTCTACGGATAAATATATAACCACTGTGGCTCAAGAGCAAATCTTGGTTTACATGTAAATGGATTAAAAAGTTATTTTTTGTTGTTTGTCTCTAATGATAAGAAATGTTCTTTCTTTGGGACCTACGCTTTGGACATTTCATCTCTGACACCATCTATAGAATATATTTCTGAAAATTAAAAACATGCTTGTCTTGTGTCTGCTTTTTTCCCTTCAGAGTTGAAAAGGGTAAGGATTGAGAAAGTCTCGTTGTGCATCAATAAGTCAATTCAAAAGATACGCTCCAAGTCAACAGGATGCCAAGGCTCCTATAGACCCCAAGAACGTTCCTCTCAAAGTCCAAGTTAGCGCGAGACAGTCTGAAACCATCAATAGTGCTGAATCTACAGGAATGTCTGACCAGGCATGATCCGCATTTTCGGGAAGATTTTTGTGGCATATAAAGAAAAAAAAAACTAGCAGCTCTGCACATGACAGCAATGATGTTGGAGACTTTAGATGGTCTCAGATGACTTTACTCAAAGTGGGAAATCTAATTACAACACCCAGAACCACAAGCGTGACAGGAAGGCCCAATCACTCTTATCGCGTGACTTTCCTCTAGGAATGAATTTTTAAATCGAAGGCTGTAATGACAATTATATCTTATTAAATGTAACCAGCATCAGAAATGGAAGATTTAAACTTGTTTCAACTTTCCTTAAGTTGTATTAAAGTCCTTCCAGTGGTTAAGTTATTTAGCTAACAGACAGATTGGTGGTGACTCCTGGAAATAACGAATATTTTGAATGATTAGTGAATAATTGGGTAGTGGGGGTAACTTCACTACCATGACACCAAATCGTAGCTTGATATCTTTACATTTTTATTTGCTGTAAGCTATAGCTTCAGCAGCTGGGTTGAATGGGGTCAATTCCAAAAATGTAAGCTAATATCTCCACATAATCCATTAACTCCTAGGCTAAGTGATGTAAATGACTCTTTGCTATAGCAAATTTTAATTCAATATCTTCAAATGTGACTGAGTAATGGGCATTCTGTTGTTTGCTGTAGCGGCCATCTTGAATGATGTATTATCCTCTCTGGATACCAAACTTAATAAATGCACGCACACACCGAGTACTAAGTTTGGTATCCAGAGAGGATAATACAAATGAGACCAGTCTCAGGGTTACATTTATTTTTTAGCCTTTCCTGTCCTGGCAGTAGCACCATGACAGGATGGTTGATCCCGGTGCCATAGCATCCCAATTTACCCCACAGTGGGAGGGTTTGTGGCACGTTACACCCATTAGCTTAGCACCGGAGTGGACAGGCAGGGAGAAAAGGGACAACAAGTCCAGGTTTACGAGGTCGTCAGAAAAAACATTCTACAAGAAAATTGGGTTCAGGCAAAGTTTTAAACTAAAGTCTGACATGATCTATGAACCCTTGGGTTTGTGATAGTAAGCTAATAGCATTTAGAGTTTTAATACAATACTTGTAAAAACGACAAATTGATAAAGTCTTGGTTCTTTGGTGGCTTAAAGAGCAGGTCACCCTCAAATCAACTTTTTTTTGTTGATAAACTATATAGATGAGTGTAATTGCTCTGTAGACACGTTCAGTCAATAATTTGGCACTTTAGTTGATCTTAGTTAAAATTTGAATCATCTGCCTAAAACTGTCAGCGATGCACCGTCGTCAGGCAAAAACTCAGCACTGCATTTGAATTTAAATCTGCCATCGCTATTGGCTAATAGGTCCACTATGATGTTAGATAGTACATTATGATGTCACAATGTCGTGAGTGTGTGTATTTGTTAGTGGCTCTGCCCTCGGTCTGCTAGGCAACAGCATTTGTTGCATTTTTCAAACAGGAAGTTGGAGTTGAGTAAGAATCTGGCAGGGGGTGACTTGTTCTTTAAAGAGCAAGTCACCCCCAAATACCATTTTTTTTTGCTGACAAACTATATAAAGGAGTGTCTAATCATGCTACAGACACGTGTCATCAATAATTTGGCGCTTCAGTGCATCTTGGTTAAAATTCAAATATTCTGCCTAAAACTGTCAGTGTTGCGCCGTCGTCAGGGAAAAACTCTGCACTGTATTTGAATTTAAATCTGCCACCGCTATTGGCTAAGAGGTACGCTATGATGTCATCTGGTACATTATGATGTCATAATGCCATTGTGAGCCTGTGTGTGTGTATTTGTTAGCGGCTCCGCCCTCTCGGTCTGCCAAACAACAGCATTTGTTGCATTTTTCAAACACGAAGTGGGAGTGAAGTAAGTTTCTTGTAGGGGTGACTTGCTCTTTAAGCTAGGTGTGAACATTAAAGCAAGTCACCCCCAAATCAGCTTTTTTTTCCTGACGAACTATATAAATGCATGTCTAATCGTGCTGCAGACACATGTAGTCAATAGTTTTGCACTTTAGTGCATTTTAGTTCAAATTTAAATTTTCTGCCTAAAACTGTCAGTGTTGTGCCGTTGTCAGGTTAAAAACTCTGCACTGCAATTGAATTTAAATCTGCCACCGCTATTGGCTAAAGCTTGGTTTATGCTTGACACATTCACTTTCCGCTTGGTGATGTGGCTCGTGGCTGGAATGCGCTTCACAACTCGCAGCGTTTATGGTTCGTGCGGCTTGTCTCTGCGGTGAGACAATATTCTCCCAAATTGTAGGGGGCAGGATGGAGCTCTACGGCATGTATCCAACACTACACCGTAGTAGAAGTAAAAATGACTGTTTACAACGTGGCATTTCAGCATTTTTAATAGCATCCTCGTCTTTTCCGACAGTGCGAGCTATTTCTCTCCAAGAATTATTAACAACATGTTGATCACGGTGATCTCTGAGAGCTGAATCATACAAATGTCTGTATTTACAAACCTCTGCCATACTAGTCCTTGCCGGTCCGTTATGTTTTTCAGCGTCCGACCGTCCGCGTGGTTAGAAATTTTCCTAGGTGCGCGTTGCGGAAATTTTGGGCCGTGCGGAGACGCAGTGGAGGGGCGTGGTTGTTAAAATGACGCAATTTCGCTGCGCGGAGCCGTGCGGACCTCGCGGACGCGTCAAGCATAAACCAACCTTAAGAGGTATGCTATGATGTAAACTGGTACATTATGATGTCACAATGCCGTTGTGTGTGTGTGTGTGTGTGTGTATTTGTTAGTGGCTCCGCCCTCTCGGTCTGCTAGGCAACATCATTTGTTGCATTTTTTAAACATGAAGAGGGAGTTTCTTGTAGGGGGTGACTTGCTCTTTAAATGACTTCAGTTTTTGAAGTGTTGGCATGTTTTATGTGTACAGAAATGACACTATCTTATTAAGGAGCTGGGAACTGATAATAATGGGACTAATTATTCAAATTCAATTCAAAGATACTTTATTAATCCCAGAGGGAAATTAGAGTAAACAAGTTATGTTACAGTGAGCTGAACCCAGTTGGTAAACAGTAACTATGACACCACTGTCTGTCCAATGAGCGGCGGGAACTTCCCTTCTGCATGCAAATAACGAGCTGGTTTCCTCTCCGGCTTGCTCCTCGGCGCTGCGCAAGTGTCATGCCAAAGCTGCAGCGTTAGCAGGCTCGTTTCCCCGTCTTTTTCACCCTCCAGCGGGGAGATCCCTCATTTCTCCCGTACTCTTCTTCCTCGAACCGCACAGGCTTTTGTTGCTGCTTGGACATGCCGAACATCGTGCTTTTCAGCGGGAGCTCCCATCACGACCTTTCCCAAAAAGTGGCCGATCGGCTCGGGCTGGAGCTGGGGAAGGTGATCACGAAAAAGTTCAGTAACCAGGAGACATGGTGAGTGATGGGTTTGTCCACGTCAGACGCGAACTGATTTGTTGTTTAAACGTGTGAAATGTAACCTGCTGGGTTATTTTGGCTGAGCTAGCGGCTCAGTTGTTGCTCTAGTTTCGTTATCACGTGTTGCTGTTAGCTTAGCTTCAAGCTAACGGTAATGTATTCGGTCCGCTCCATTTCGTGCCGGAACGGCGCTCAGCTCTAGGGACAAAAGCGAGTTACGCACGTCTCAATTTAACTTCTGATACAATCACAACAGAACAACTAGGTACCAATTCGGTACCGTGAACGTGATCTTAAGTTAGCTGATATGAACGGTGATCCCCTACTACCTCCGTCAAATTTGTTTGCTCTTCAATTAAAGGATAAACGCCTCCCTCATCCGAGATGTCCGTCTGTAACCAACTCATGCGCCGTTAGGCGCATAGGAAACGGATCCACTATTTAGCGGGCAGCGTGTGATTAGCCAACCACGGGTAAACACAACAGGCTAGCAAGCTAATGTTGGTGTTTCTATTATCGGACAAAGGCCTGGATATTGAATAAATGTTCATTTATGTTTAAATATCTTTTGTTGAACTGTTGGACTAAGACATACCAAAATAGCTAAAATAGTTATTTTTCAGCGTTATAAAAACAGACTTTTCCGTTTTTAATTTGCGAATCGTACTAAGTTTTACCCATGTTCTACCCTTTTTACTACCCGACTTGGCTGTTTATTAGCATTGTTGTTGTTGTTATTAGTCCACAGTAATAGATTTCAATGTTCAACACTCAGTTGTTTAATCGCCTACATCCTCACGGAGCTACAGGATGTGTGGAAAACCATGAGTTTTTTGGTTCTGATCCGTGTTCATAAAAGTCTTTTTGCTGGATTCAACCTCAACAACTGTCGGCGCACACAGGTCACATGACAGAGGCTGCTGACCCGTTGGTGTGCAGCTGCAGAAGAATGTTTCTGTTTCTCTCTCTCTCTCTCTCTCTCTCTCACACACACACACACACACACACACACACACACACACACACACACACACACACACACACACACACACACACACACACACACACACACACAGAGCCTGTTCCCAAAGTCTCTAGGATGATCAAAGCCTCTTGTTTGGCTTTAATCAGAACCTTTCAGGTCGTAAAACTTTGGTTCTGAAATCTCGACGCATCGGGTTCGTGGAAGCTGTCGGAAGAGTTTTTCCCCGTTAACGGCGAGAAAACACAAAGATGTTAGATCTGAATCCTATAGAAACGCTCACACTGAGCTGATTGGTGGTCAGGTGGATGTCATCATCATGTGTGCTGACATGTGACTCGTGATTCCTCAGATCAGAAGTAAAAATCCAATTATTTTCTTTCCCTGTCTAGTGTGGAAATCGGCGAGAGTGTGCGTGGCGAGGACGTTTACATCGTCCAGAGCGGATGTGGAGAGATCAACGACAACCTGATGGAGCTTCTCATCATGATCAACGCCTGTAAGATCGCCTCGGCGTCCCGTGTCACTGCCGTCATCCCCTGCTTCCCATATGCTCGGCAGGACAAGAAGGACAAGGTAAACGGCTGGAAAAGTGCCGCGGGCTGTTTACTCCCTCAGAGGGGTAGTTAATAAAAGCTGTTGGTGCATGATGCCTCTGAAGGTCACAGAGCTGCAAGCATGTCACCTCCACGCCCCCTTCACAGGTAACGAAGGAGGAATTCACTCAGGTGAACCAGGATTCTCTGTCCGTCTGCAGGGTTTTAATCTCTTTGTCAGCAAAGACCCAATCAGAGCTGGACCTGGATCCCTCAGCTCTAGATCAGCTGTTTCCTCTCATTAGCGTGTATTTCCTACAAACACCTGACTGGTTTTCCTGATCCCGCTGTTTAGGAAACAGGTCCTGAAGCTCGCTTCAAATGCCACATCAGAGCTACATTTTACCCCTTAGGTGATCAAACAGCAGCCTTCTACAGCTAACAGCATATTTACCATATTTGTGACATCACAAAAGACAAGATGGAACTGATATATTTACCAAACTCCAGGAGTGGTTCATATTTTACAAGCTGTTATGATGATGATTGTCATGGGGCTGATGGTGATGACTATTGTAGGGCTGCAACAACGAATCGATAAAATCGATGAAAATCGATTATTAAAAGCGTTGGCGATGAATTGCGTCATCGATTCGTTGTGTTGCACAACTCTTCCAAAAGCCCGCCCGCCCGCGTTGCGCGAAGACCGGAGCAAGTCAGATCAGCGCGAGGGAGAGCCGGCAGGTGTTTGGAAGAGGAACATGGCAGAAGCAGCGAGGCCCAAAAAAGTTAAAACTTCTGAAGTTTGGGAGCATTTTCAGTTAAATCAGGCGAAGACATTCGTTACCTGCAGGGCTGGACTGGGACAAAAATTCAGCCTGGGCATTTTGACTGGAGACCGGCCCATCACCTGTTTTTTTTTGGAAAAGACATTAAGCCTTACGCTGTTTCTGACACACACCAACGTACACTTTCTTATTGGTAATATTTATGTATCAATCTAATAAACGTAAACCTACACCATCCTTCCTATCCTGGTATTCTAAAACGCAGGCCTGGGGGTAAATGATTATTTTTAAAACGATTATTCTGACGATTATTTTATTGAATAGTCGACTATTCTAATGACTATTTAGATGATTACCTAGCGATTATTTTTCTATTGCACAATTAATAAAAACCAAAGAATCTAAAATAAATTCCTCCAAAAAATGGATAAATTGTTACTGTAAGAGAATAAACATTAAAGACTATGGCGTTTAAAGCGTGCCACAACCCGTGCACGCGCATTGGGTCCACAGCGCGCGTGTGAACGGGACTCGCGAGCGGAAATATACATGGCGAGAGGTCATTTGTGCACTGAGAGGGAGCAAACTGTGTCTGTGAGCGCACAAGGATGTGCACAAGTGACAAACCTGCGTGCACGCGTTGTCAACGAGCACACGGCAGAGGAAAACGTGCGCGCGCGGCAGCCTCTCTGCGCGCTCGGCAGCCTCTGCGCGCTCGGTTTCTGACTCCTGCTCGCTCGGCTGTAAGGGCTTTTGGCACTCTGGAGGCGTGGCCTGTGGCAGATCTTCCCTGTCCTCTGATTGGTTAGTTTACCCCGCACTTTACCCTCTATCTATATAAAAAAGTCTGATATTCAGTAGTTGCTGGCATAGCTCAGCTGGGAGAGCGGGTGACTCTCGCCCCGGAGGATCCAGGTTCGAGTCCGGCCAAGGAAAATGCAGTAGATGTCATGTTAATTTTTCTTAATTTCAGGTATTTTACAGTTGTGATCGTTCAACTGTCATTAAACGTCCGAATGTTTGCTGGGCAGTGTTTTAAAAAGTGCACATAAGCTAGATGGTTTTAACCATATAAAATTACATTTTTTGTGATACTGGAAAAATACATACTGAAATAAAACTACTGGTTGAAAACTTCATGACTGTGATTGTACAATATATGACTCACTGATACACTGCAAACTCCCTTAGAGAGAGAGAGAGAGAGAGAGAGAGAGAGAGAGAGAGAGAGAGAGAGAGAGAGAGAGAGAGAGAGAGAGAGAGAGAGAGAGAGAGAGAGAGAGAGAGAGAGAGAGAGAGAGAGAGAGAGAGAGAGAGAGAGAGAGAGAGAGAGAGAGAGAGAGAGAGAGAGAGAGAGAGAGAGAGAGAGAGAGAGAGAGAGAGAGAGAGAGAGAGAGAGAGAGAGAGAGAGAGAGAGAGAGAGAGAGAGAGAGAGAGAGAGAGAGAGAGAGAGAGAGAGAGAGAGAGAGAGAGAGAGAGAGAGAGAGAGAGAGAGAGAGAGAGATTCTTGCCTCATTAATGAATTGTTTATTTTTTTCAGTATTTAATTGACAAATTATCCTTTCAAATAATTAATTGATGAGTTACATAATTGTCCATTTAGAATTGTTGAATGGACTGAGTCAAGTTTGGTGCACTTTATATATTTCAAAACATGTTTTTTTTTTATTTTAATGATGCATATAAATAATTTAAATGTTAATTTAATGAAATATTTCTATTTTTTCATTACCTCACCCTTGTTTTGACAAAAACGGAACCTTGCTGGATAATATCATGGAGAAACTATTTGTTCACGGTACATGGCTCAGTGAGGATCTGTGTAAAGGAGGAGATACTCAGAAATCTGTCTGCAGATTGTTACAACCCAGACTGGAAGTGGTGGGCTGTAATAAGAAAGGAGACCAAACAGAGGAGTGGGGGTTCAACAACTGATTTATTTAACAAAAGTAAGGATTTACTAAAGCAAGTTAGTGAACAGAAAATGGCCAGTGAGGACTCTCCACCACACAGGAGAGACCCAGTGAAAGCAGAAAAACAGTAGGCTTTGTAGGCAGCACCACACCCTGAGCCCAGGTGCCTCCAAGGCTGCTTAACGAGCTGCCTACAACAGAAGAAAAACACAATTAAACAAATGAAAACCCAATGAGACGGTGGGGGCATCACAACACGTTCAGGACTACCCAAACACCAGTAATTCTTGACTGCACTGATCTGCTTTAGTAAATCCTTACTTTGGTTAAATAAATCAGTTGTTGAACCCCCACTCCTCTGTTTGGTCTCCTTTCTTATTACAGCCCACCAATTCCAGTCTGGGTTGTAACAATCTGCAGACAGATTTCTGAGCATCTCCTCCTTTGGTATACAGATCCTCACTGAGCCAAGTACTGTGAACAAATAGTTTCTCCGTGATATTATCCAGCAAGGTCTTGTTTTTGTCAAAACAAGGGTGAGGTAATGCAGAAATATAAATATTTCAATAAATTAACATTAAAATTATTTATATGCATAATAAAAAAAAACATGTTTTGAAATATATAAAGTGCACCAAACTTGACTCAGTCCATTCAACAATTCTAAATGGACAATTATGTAACTCATCAATTAATTATTTGAAAGGATAATTTGTCAATTAAATGCTGAAAAAAATAAACAATACATTAATGAGGCAAGAACTTTTTAAACTTGAACATACCTACACCCACAAGTCTATTTTTACCTGGTTAAAACCATCTAGCTTATGTGCACTTTTTAAAACACTGCCCAGCAAACATTCGGACATTTAATGACAGTTGAACGGTCACAACTGTAAAATAATATCACAGGAATTAGTAAAGAATAATATGACATCAACTCTATGTTACTTAGCCGGACTCGAACCTGGATCCTCCAGAGTGAGAGTCGCCCGCTCTCCCAGCTGAGCTATGCCAGCAACTGCTGAATATCAGATTTTTTTTATATAGATAGCTAGAGAGTAAAGTGTGGGGTGAACTAACCAATCAGAGGATAGGGAAGATCTGCCACAGGCCACGCCTCCAGAGTGCCAAAACTCCTCACAGCCGAGCGAGCGGAATTAGAAACCAAGCGCGCAGAGGCTGCCGAGCGCGCAGAGAGGCTGCCGCGCGCGCACGTTTTCCTCTGCCGTGTGCTCGTTGGCAACGCGCGCACGCAGGTTTGTCACTTGTGCACATCCTTGTGCGCTCACAGACACAGTTTGCTCCCTCTCAGTGCACAAATGACCTCTCGCCATGTATATTTTCGCTCGCGAGTCCCGTTCACACGCGCGCTGTGGACCCAATGCGCGTGCACGGGTTGTGGCACGCTTTAAACGCGATACTTCCATTTTGTTTAACACTGCTTTTATTGTGTTGCGGTTGGTTATGTTCTGGTGACATGTAGAACTTGGGAGTGCAGGCTGCTGCCTGAGAGGTGGTTGGAGACGGAATGTCTCCATGCTGCTTTGATTTGGTCACTTACAGTTATGGTCAGAAGTTTACATACACTTGTAAAAAATATAATATAATGGCTCTACTGAGTGTCCCGTTATTTCTAAAACTCAGATTTTTCTCTGATATAGTGATTGGAACAGATACTTCTTTGTCACAAAAAACATTCATGAAGTTTGGTTCTTTAATGTCTATTATGGGTTAACAGAGAAAAGTGATCACATTTGCTTGGTCACAAATATACATACAGCAACATGAACTATCAATTTTGGTGACTTAGAAACGTGTCAGTGAACTGAGCTTCATAGCATGGCCTCTTAACTTCTTGTGAGTGATTATGAGTGACTACAGCGGGTGACTTCTCTTAGGCCACGTAAATAGGGCTCATTGGATACAAACGCTACAATGGGAAAGTCAAAGGAGCTCAGCATGGATCTGAAAAAGCGAATTATTGACTTGAACAAGTCAGGAAAGTCACTTGGGGCCATTTCAAAGCAGCTGCAGTCCCAAGAGCAACAGTGCAAACAATTGTTTGTAAGTATAAGGCACTGTTTCATCACTGCCAAGATCAGGAAGAAAACGCAAGCTATCACCTGCTGCTGAGAGAAAATTGGTCAGGAGGGTAAAGAGTGAACCAAGAATCACCAAAAAGCAGATCTGCCAAGAATTAGAAGCTGCTGGAACACATGTGTCATTGTCCACTGTCAAACGTGTTTTGCATCTCCATGGACTGAGAGGCTGCCGTGCAAGAAGGAAGCCCTTGCTCCAAAAGCGGCACCTTAAGGCTCGACTGAAGTTTGCTGCTG